TCTCCTCCTCTGACATTTGAAGCAAATCAACCATGCTTCATCTTCCAAACTGAACTTGACAGTAGCATTCTCCCACTTGTTGTTCTTGTATTCCACCTACATCGCTCGTCTCGAATCATATCAGTGCACCTCTCCTACTTCACAATACGAGCCGGATGCATTTATCTCCTTCATCACTTGGCTTGAACCGAAAATGAGTGCTCACCATCTGCAAGTCCAATGCCACTATCTCTATCTCCATATATGTCACTCAGTCGTGCCTGCTTGCAAGCTCCACCTAATTTAGCACTTCCTCCTCGAGTCTACACACCAACCAACTCATGCTCCCGCGATGACTCTGAATAATTATATGCTGATAATTTTACTATTAGAATCACGTCTCGTGTATCCTATCTGCCATCAGATATGTCTTGTTACCATCATCAGAATTTATCAGCACTTTCTGACCAATCTGAATAAACTCTAGAAAATTAAACCGTCCCATCACCTGACCTCAGGCTCAGAACATTTCTTGGTGGTCAAATCTCTTTTATTTTCTCTCTAAATAATCGAGAATAACATGCCAGCAAAATCAGAGATTGCCCTCAATTTGATCCAGGACTCCTCAAGTTTTGTCATCTTTATCAAAAAGTCAAAATAATTGAATCATTCAGAGATCACGCTCACTATATAACACGAGTGAGAAGCGCACTTGTTGTACATGCATGCTCTGTGTAATAGACGTGGCAGAAAATTGTGGAAGTTTGTTGTTACCTACAGTTTGACCAATAGATAGCATATTACCCCAAAGAGACCAAATTCAGGTCTAGAGATCACTGTCTATGGTTAAAGTTAATATTGAGCTTAACGCATCAATTAATCATGCATATTCAACTTCACAGAAGAACCTAAATATCTCATCCGGGTAAAAATTCCATTTAAAAAAAAATTATGCATGCAGCTCTTCTTTTTCGTTTGGGTAACATTAGTTTAATGGCAATGAAACTCAAAAACTTCTTCAGTAAAACTCAATCGATCATGCGTGCACGTGTATGTAGGCATTATCTCACGCATGTCCTAGCCCTTAAAAACTCTTAGTAACAAATCTAAAATTGCCCATATTACAATTTCATTTGCAATCATGATTTTGAGGAATTTACTTTATTTTTGGAAAAAAACAAACCAGCAAATTGAATGACCCATTTAAACTAGATGTCCGAAATGGGAAAGGAAAAAATCACGGTTGTTAGTAACACCTATGCATTTTCCTCGGTACGCGTCCTGTTCTAAAATCACCAAGCTGACCTCAAATTGTAAGCAAATTAATAAAGCTGCTTGTGGCTCTCTCTTGTTGGGCCCCATCGGGTGTTATACAAAGTTGTGCGGTGCTTCTTTTTAAAAATTTAGTTACTTTTATTTACTATTTACTGATTGTTCAACTCTGGGCCTCGTGCACCAGCTGTTGGGCCGAAAAGGTGCGAGAGCCTGTTACCCGAGTCCGCAAACACGCAGCTGAAACAAGCAGGTCCGATAACACGCTAGCAGGTACTTAGACATTTATTATAGATCTTGTCGATTATAGATCTTGTCGATATCGGAATGTTCTAGGCTCAGTTGTTGTCATCTTCAAAAAGTCTAAAATAATTGAAGCATTCAGAGATCTTGCTCACTAAATAACAAATGCAAGCATCTTTTGTGGCCACGACAGCTAAGTAATGAAGATCAATACTGTGTAGGGATTTTTAGATCTACAAAAACCCAAAAAAAACCACCAAACATAGGAAATAAAATCACACAAGATTTAACGTGGAAAATTCTCAACAGGAAAAAATCACGGAATCAAAATCAATCAACTATCACCTCAAAATTATAATATTTTGCACGGACAAAGACTATCAAACCCTCTATCTCTCTTTCCTTCTACACTTCTTCTTAGTTTTTCCTCTAACAATAGAAGGACATATATAGAGAAACCAAAAATCTATCTCTAGCCTAACTTCCTAATTATAATAAGATTCAAACTCCTAATCATGATAGAACCCAAACTCCTAATAATAATAGATCTCTAACCCTATATAATTCTCATGAAGTTATACAAAGAATTTAAAACATTATACTAACTTTGCGTTTGAGTTGATACCCAACATATCCTCTCTCGACGAAAAATCTCCTAGTGTCTCAACGGCTTCAGAAAAACTCACCCTCTTCTTCTTGTTCTTCACCTCTCCCTTGTGGACAAGATTCTGAGAAGAGTAATCTACACTATTAACGGATCGCACATCTAAATAGCAAATATGGTTGCTATTCTTCCTCCCTCGCAAAATCAAATCACCATCTCTATACATATTGTACCACTCTCCTTCACTCACATACTTGTACCCGCGTGATGTCATCTCACCTAACGAAATTAAATTAGCACCACATGACGATACATATTTCACATGGTGAAGAATTCCGACCTTCCCAGTGTGAAGCTTGAGATGAACACTTCTAATACCTTCAACCTTCATCTTCTTATTGTTTCTAACAATCACGTCGTCAAATTCTTCATCTGTCTTTAATGTGTTAAAATAATTTTTGTTGTTGCAAACGTGCATAGAGGCTGCAGAATCTAACACCCAAGTGTTACTCGCATCAGTACCTGTACTCTGCATCAATAAAACAACATCTTCATCACACACACCCACCGAGGAGTCCGCCTTCTTCCCATTTTCTTGAAGCTTCATTTGTCTAATACTCTTCAAATCAACACGTATCTGGGAACATCTGAACTGAATGTGACCCTTCTCTCCGTAATAATAGCACTCCTTTTCGCTGTCGTCTCGGGCCCAAGATTTTGATCTTCCTCGATAACTGTCACATCTTCCCTTACTCCTCCCTCGATTAGAACCTTCAAAAGCTAGTGCACTCTCACCACCATTAGATGCGCTCTCCTTTCCCATCATTCGTTCATTCTCACGTAGCAGTGCTGTCACATCATCGAACTTTAAAGTCTGCTTTCCTGTAATTATCGTCTAAACTAACGGCTTATAAGACTTCGGTAAGGAAGACAATAGGAGTAGCACATGCTCTTCTTCTTTAATCTCCTCATCAATATTCATAAGTTGGTAAACTAGCCGATTAAAGGCATTGATGTGGTCTTGAATTGCAGTACCTTCTTCCATCTTCAACGAATAAAGCTTCATCCTCAAACATAATCGGTTGGTCATCAATTTCGACGCATAAATTCCCTCGAGCCTTTTCCACAGCCTCTTGGTGTGGTCTCTTGCATAACATTATACTTGATCTCTGGGGCGAGTGCAAAACGAATTGCATTAACCGCCCTCTTTTGCATAGAACTCCATTCAGCATCCTTTAATCCTTCAAGTTTCTTATCCTCTAAAGCTTGATCAGCACCCTGTTGCACAAGAATATCTTGAACCGTACACTGTCATACTGTAAAATTTATCTTACTATTGAATAGCGGAATATCAAACTTTGGACCTAAAGAAGTTATCATCCTCTAACCGTAATCAAAATTCAAATCAGTTACTGTATAGATTGAATTTGATAAAACCAACATCAAAAACAAACTCAACACATCGTAAAACCCTAGTAACGACTCCTGGATCACCAAATTTCGCCTCTAAATCCTTGATCAAAAGACAAATCAACCTCAACCATTGGATCTGTGTGAACAATGCCCGCTACAGTATTCCCGCTACAGTGTCATCATTGCAATGAATTCTCAATGTCGATCATCGCGCTTCGACCGCTGATGCCTTCACGAATCGCGCATCGATCAAACTTCTACAAACCGTTGAACCCCGCTCTGATACCACTTGTAAGGATTTTTAGATCTCATAAAAACCCCGAAAAACCACCAAACACAGCAAATAAAATCACACAAGATTTAACGTGGAAAAACCCTCAACACGGAAAAACCACGGGATCAAAATCAATTCACTATCACCTCCAAATTACAATCTTTTACACGGACAAAGACTTTCAAACCCTCTCTCTCTCTCTCTCTCTCTCTCTCTCTCTCTCTCTCTCTCTCTCTCTCTCTCTCTCTCTCTTTGTCTCTACACTTCTTCTTCTTAGTTTTTCCTCTAACAATAGAAGGACATATATAGAGAAACCAAAACCCTATCTCTAGCCTAACTTCCTAATTATAATAAGATTCAAACTCCTAATCATGATGGAACCCAAACTCCTAATCATGATAGATCTCTAACCCTATCTAATTCTCATAAAGTTATACAAAGAATTAAAAACACTATACTAACTTTGAGTTTGAGTTGATACCCACCATAGTGGAGGGTGATGTATTTCCAAAGGTTAAACCCCTTGCTTGGCATTTTCACGAAAATTCAAATTTTAAGAGTGCCATGTCACCTTTAGCATATTTATAATGATAAATTTGAAAGGTGGAATGGGATTTAGAAATGGGTTAATCGCTCGTACACTCTCTTTACAACAACCCAAATTGTGAATAGATCCTCTGTAGTTTTATTGTTGCAGATAATTAAACCTCATGAGTGATTTTTTTTCTTTTACTCTTTTAGCCAAAAGCTCTATTTATTAAAAGGGAAAATTGCTTCCAGCCCCCAAAACAACCCAAAACGTGCTCTTGTGAATAGATCCTCTGTAGTTTTATTGTTGCAGATAATTAAACCTCATGAGTGATTTTTTTTCTTTTACTCTTTTAGCCAAAAGCTCTATTTATTAAAAGGGAAAATTGCTTCCAGCCCCCAAAACAACCCAAAACGTGCTCTGCCGTTTAAACACCGCTCGAAATGCCCAAAATACCCTTCGCAGCCTGTGTTCGTCGCCCTCTCACGACGGAAACCCATCGTTTCGACTGTAGGCATTAAATGGTGATATGAATGACTATTTTTGGGGGGGAAATTCCCATTTCCCTCCAAAATTATCATCAGATATTATCCCCAGCTATATTCCCCTTCAAGCTAAGTTGTTCCTTCCACTTAATTCTCCTCAATAAAAGCCTCTTCGATTCTTCAACTACTCCCTGTAATAAAATGGCGGATGGATCTCTTCTATGCGTGGTAACGAAGGCAAAAAGCAACAAAGGTGGTGACGGTGTATTCGTCGTTATTAAAGAGAATACAGAAATAATCAGCTTGAGATATCGAGTGGCGGAAAGGCTTAAAATACCAATGCAATCTCTTTCACTGAAGTTCATATGCGAAAGGGAAAAGAAATTCAGCATTTCAATTGACAATGACGACGACTTAAATTTGATGTTCGAGTATTGTCGGCGTAATGGATTTACAGACGCGAATTTGTATGCCACCTCCGCTGCGGAATCCTCAACTTCGCAGAACACGCAGACTACGCCGGAAACTGCGTAGGAATTACACTCCAGATTTCCTTTTGAGTTCACTGATAGGTTTTGCCATTAGTTGTTAACCTCATGCATTGGTTGCTTTGGTAATGTGTTGGCTGTCAAGGTTATGTTAAGCACTGGTTGTTAAAGTTATTTGTTGGCTGTTACGTATACTAGTTGGTTGCTAAGTTATGGTGTTTGATGTTAAGTATATGCGTTTGTTGTTAAGGTCACGAGTCTGCCCTTAAGTATAAGGGTTAGTTGTTAAGGATATGTGTAGGTTGTTACGTTTATGAGTTCGTTGTTAAGGTTATCAGTTCGTTGCTAAGGCTATGTATTTTGATTTATACTTCAGGACAATACCGACAGAAAATTCGCGGTGCGCAGATACCCCGTTCACCCAAACCTGTAATGATGAGCGTATTCCTAATGACAACCCCACCGGCGACTCGATCATGCTGCTGGAAGACATGCTTAATCACCAAACAAAGATCCCAACTGAGTGGCACACCTCCATACGTGAAGTTGGTCAGAAATTTGATAGTGCTGCTGAAGTTAGATTAGCACTTCAATACTATTCAATTGCTAAACGGTTCGAGTATGATTTTTACCACAATGAACAAAGACGCATAAGAGTCTATTGCCGATTCAAACACACACATGGTTGCCCTTGGATGTTGTTTGCTTCCCCGCTCAGAAATTCGTCTATCATGTCCATAAAGAATTTTGAGTCTACCCACACCTGCGGTCAATATGGAGCAAATGCTGGCAACTCAAGGGCATCAAGGAAGTTCATTGCTAGCCAAATACAAGCTATTTTGAAGGTTAAGCCAGATCTTCGTGCAGTCGATATCAAGAACGACATGCTCTCTAATTTTGGCATCAAGATTAACTACAGTAAAGCGTGGTGGAGCAAGGAGACAGCTCAACAGGACCTGTTCGGTGACGATGATGAGGCTTACGATTCACTGAGATGGTCCTTACGTTTTGGTTGCTAACTATACGTATTAGTTGTTAAAGTTATTGGTTCGTCGCTAAGTGTACGGGTTGGTTGTGAAGTTTGAAGATCAGTTGTTATGGTTATGAATCCGTTGCTAAATCTACTGCTTACGTTTTCGTTGCTAACTATACGTATTAATTGTTAAAGTTATTGGTTCGTCGCTAAGTGTACGTGTTGGTTGTGAAGTCTGAAGATCAGTTGTTATAGTTATGAATCCTTTGTTAAATCAACTGCTTACGTTTTGGTTGCTAACTATACGTATTAGTTGTTAAAGTTATTGGTTCGTCGTTAAGTATACGTGTTGGTCGTGAAGTTTGAAGATCATTCGTTATGGTTATGAATCCTTCGCTAAATGTACTGCTTTGTTGTTATATTCATGCAGGTATGAATCCATAGTGCATGCAACTAATCCAGGGAGTCGTGTTGTTATTGATGCTGATGACGGGAGGTTCAGACGATTGTTCATTTGTTATAATACCTGTATTGAAGGGTTCATTGCTGGGTGTAGGCCTCTATTGTTTTTGGATGGAACATTTATTAAAGATCGTTACAGAGGCATACTACTTAGCGCTACTGGGTATGACGGCAACCAGGGATTATTTCCCCTAGCTTATTGTGTATGCGACCAAGAGAATGAGGTTAACTGGAAATGGTTCTTACAAGGATTATGGACGTTACTGTATGATAGGGAAAATCCTTACCAACCTCCACATCGACTGGTAATGATTTCAGACGCCGACAAGGGTATCAGGGCAGCAGTCGAGGAATTCTTTCCAGATGTATTCCATTCAAGGTGTGTTCTGCATCTAGTCGAGAATTTCAAATAGAAGATGAAGGATTTTGGGCACAAGGCAAATATCGCGACTACGTTGGGCGAGCTGTTACAATCTGCGGCTTATAAGTTCACAATATCTGAATGGGATAATGACATGAAAGAATTGACAGCGATCGATCACAGGGCTTACGTCACTGTAATGGAATACTCCCCGGAGAGATGGGCAAATGCGCATTTTCCTGGTATAAGGTAAGATAGCTTGGTCCCAACGTTATTTTGTTACAGCACTGTTATAGTTGTTTAGGTTAGAGTTATCCTACAGTTTTCTGTTAAGGTTAGATTTTTATTGTTATGGTTAGAGTTATTCTGCTAGGGTTTTGTTGTTAAGTTTAGGATATTTGTTGTTAAGGTTAGGCCTTTAATGTTTAGTTTATGCTTTTATTCTCTTTATTGCAAATTTTCCAACAAACAGTGATAATATTCAGTATGGTAGCTGCTTGGTGATTAAACATTCGACGGAAGATATTGTGGAGGTCGAGTCCAATAAAACTTGCCGCGTAGATTTGAAGAATCGGACTTGTTCTTGCAGGTCCTGGGACATTCTTCGCATTCCCTGCAAACATGCGTGCGCTGCAATTTCATGGATGGGACGAGAAATTTATCAATATTGCGATTGGTACATGACTGTTGACGCATTCAGAGCAAGCTATGCACCGATCATCTATCTCATCCCAGATTACGAGAAGCGCTTTGTACCGCCAGAAGAGTGAGTGTTGAAGCCTCCTCTCACCAAAAAAAGACGTGGCAGACCATGCACTAGACGAATAAACAACAGGTCGCTGAACACCCGACCTGTTAAGTGCTCTCGATGCAACATGGAGGGTCACAATCGTGCAAGCTGTAACGAGCCTATATAGTTTAGCGTTTTATTGTCATGTATATGAATTTGTTGTCAGGTATATCATTACAAGTGAGAAGGTTATGGCTTGGCTGCTAAGGTTATTACTTGGTTTTTAATTTTATCATTTTAATGTTGAAGTTTTGACTTGGTTGTTAAGGTTATTATTTGCTTGTCAAGTTTCTCACTTTAATGTTGAAGTTTTGACTTGGTTGTCAAGGTTATTACTTGGTTGTCAAGTTTATCACTTTAATGTAGAAGTTTTAACTTGGTTGATAGGTTTATCGATTGTATGTTAAGTTTACTGTTATACACCTGTTATCCACCTGCTCTTTGCTGTCAATATCATCGATTGTTAAAATTGTCAAGTATATCATTAAAATTGTTAGGTTTTATGGCTTGGCTGTTAAGGTTATTACTTGGTTTTCAATTTTATCACTTTAATGTTGAAGTTTTGGCTTGGTTGTTAAGGTTATTACTTGGTTGTCAAGTTTATCACCTTAATGTTGAAGTTTTGACTTGGTTGTTAATGTTATTATTTGGTTGTCAAGTTTATCACTTTAATATTGAAGTTTTTGATTAGTTGATATGTTTATCGATTGAAAGTTAAGTTTACTGTTATACACTTGTTATTCACCTGCTCTTTGTTGTCAGTTTTATTTGTTTGTTGTTTAGGTTACTATTATTCACTTGCAATTGGCTGTCAACGTTACCGAGATATTTTTGATCTGACTGCATTCAATGCATTTCATAGTTCCCAAGGCAGTAGAGTAATATCACCATCCCTCGGATTGTTCCAATACAGAACCGAACTATATAACATTTCTCCTCACCTTTACATCTTCTTTATCTTCCCATCACTGCCATTCTATTTGTCCTCTCTATTTTCTCGATCATCCTAAGCTCTCCCCTCATAACAAAACCATAACATCAACAATACGACGACCCCGTGATCTTCTTAATCCATAAGCCTAACAACAGAGAGCTAAGCGTTACAACAAGGAGCTAATGTTAGCTACCATTCCATAAGTTTAACAACAGAGAGCTAACCTTAACAACCAACACATAAGCTTGACAACAGAGCACTAACCTCAACAATAGCTGTGGGTGAATGCATGTGGGTGAATGCATGTGGCTATTGAACAAGTTCATTAAAGGGAGCCACATGCATGTGGCTATTGAATGCATGTGGAGAGGTCCCTTGCTGTTATTCAGCAGCGTGTGGTTGTCACGGTCACCGGCGTATATTCTCTGCTACTGCATTCAATGTTCCTCCTAGTTCCCAAGGAGGAGAGTTAATATAACCTGGGCTCCTATCCTTCGCCTGTTCAACTACAGGATAGCGCAGACATCCTTTCGGCGCAATCTTTCCTCGATCTCCCCTACCATTTATTCTCTGTTGACCCTCTATATTTAATCTGAAAAAAAACTACCCTCTCCCCAAAACCTAGAAGTTCTCCTTTCTCTGTTGCTAAGGTTAGCGCTCTGTTGCCAAATTTATGGGATGGTTGCTAAGGTTAGCACCTTGTTGTTGCGTTTAGCTCTGTTGTTAGGCTTATTTATTGGTTGTTAAGATTGTAGCAGACCTCATTGTTATTTTTTCTATGTTAAGATCACGACGTGGCTGGTAAGCTTATTTTTTCATTGTTAAGGTTGTAAGCAAGATTGTAAAGAAAGACGTGGTATGATACATGGTTGTATTGTTGAGCGGATTGTTTTGTTGTTAAGATCATTGACTGGCTGTCAAGGTTATGTGCTGATTGTCAAGCTTATGTATTAGTTGTTAAGTTTAGCGCCCTGTTGTTAAGGTTAGTGCTCTGTTGCCAAGCTTATGTATTGGTTGTTAAGGTTAGCTCTCTGTTGTTAAACTTATGGAATGGTGGCTAACATTAGCACCTTGTTATAACGCTTAGCTCTGTTGTTAGGCTTATGTGTTAATAAGATCACGGGGTTGTATTGTACATATTATGGTTTTGTTATTAAAGATCATGGATTGGCTTTCAAGGTTATGTGCTGGTTGTCAAGCTTATGGACTGGTTGCTAAGGTTAGAGCCCTGTTGTCAAGCTTATGGACTGGTTGATAAGGTTAGATCTCTGTTGTTAAACTTATGGATTGGTGGCTAACATTAGCACCTTGTTGTAACGCTTAGCTCTGTTGCTAGGCTTATGGGTTAATAAGATCACGGGGTTGTATTGTACATATTATGGTTTTGTTATTAAAGATCATGGATTGGCTTTCAAGGTTATGTGCTGGTTGTCAAGCTTATGGACTGGTTGCTAAGGTTAGAGCCCTGTTGTCAAGCTTATGGACTGGTTGATAAGGTTAGCGCTCTGTTTCCAAGCTTATGTATTGGTTGTTAAAGTTAGATCTCTGTTGTTAAACTTATGGAATGGTGGCTAACATTAGCACCTTGTTGTAACGCTTAGCTATGTTGATAGGCTTATGGGTTAAGAAGATCACGAGGTTGTATTGTTCATATTATGGTTTTGTTATTAAAGATCATGGATTGGCTTTCAAGGTTATGTGCTGGTTGTCAAGCTTATGGACAGGTTGCTAATGTTAGAGCCCTGTTGTCAAGCTTATGGACTGGTTGATAAGATTAGTGCTCTGTTGCCAAGCTTATGTATTGGTTGCTAAGGTTAGCGCCCTCTTGTGGAGAGGTCCCTTACTGTTATTCACTATTCGACGGCATCGGCCAATGCGTGTACTGCTCCGCTGACGTCACCACGAAGACAAACTTCGGAGACTGCAGGGTGCTGCTAGAGATTAGGGAATATTCGGATATCCCTAAGAGGATTAGGTTTCGTTACACCTCTCCCATGGACCTTCGTCTGATGGAAGGTTTCGTCGTCACTCAGCTTGTAGGTGGAGACCGTGAGCAGCAGGCAAACAATGAGCAAGGTCCCATCGACATGTCCGTTGACCAACCTCAAATCCAGCAACCGCAGCCTTCCCGCACCGACCCGGAATTGATTGAAGTGTCTTGGGACGGCAGGCAAATGACGGTGGAGAAAGAGCTCTGGCAACGATTTCTCCAGGCCCAAGGTGTTGGGCCGTCTACCCTTCCTCACGACAGGGGTTCCTACCACGATCGCGCTTCGAGCAAGGGGAGCCGGGGAGGAGCAGTCGGCCCCTAGGTTATCATTAATTGTAAATTACCAAATGTTTTGTTTAACTTGATGATGATACGCTCTGTTAACTACCTATTAATATGATTCTGCTAATGTAGTGTGTTGTTAAGCTTTTGTGTTTGTTGATGAGGTTACGGTTTTGTTGTTAAACTCATGAGTTTGTTGTTAATGTTATCCCTTTTGGATCTGGCATATTGTAAACTATTGGCGGACAAATACAGAAATCTTTTCAAATTTAGTTTGGTTGCATTTGAAGCACAAGTTAGCAGAATCTTGCGATGTTGTTAAGCTTTGCTGTTTGTTGGTGAGGTTACGGTTTTGTTGTTGAACTCATGGGTTTGTTGTTAATGTTATCCCTTGATATTAACCTTATAATAGTTACATGTATATTGTTATTAACAACAAAGAATTGTAATATATCATTTACAGAAATCTTTTCAAAGATAGTTTGGTTGCATTTGAAGCACAAGTTAGTAGAATCTTGCGATGTTGTTAAGCTTTGCTGTTTGTTGGTGAGGTTACGATTTTGTTGTTGAACTCATGGGTTTGCTGGTAATGTTATCCCTTGTGGATCTGGCATATCGTAAACTATTGGCGGACAAATATAGAAATCTTTTCAAATTTAGTTTGGTTGCATTTTACAAAAAATCTACATCTCAACGTCATCATCGTCAAGTTTTCCCACCTCTTTTTTCCTCTTCCTGCCTTCAATCAGTAAGTACGCTGCTAGCTTCGCACGAACCACCCATGTGTTATGCTCTTCGGGCGTGACGTGCAGGACATCTCTACCTTCGGTAATCGCTTTTACGAACTGGTAGACATAGATCCCACAGTCATACCTGCACACAACCACAAGGAAGCATTGAGACCATTGTTGCTTTCAATCAAAACATAACAACAAATTCGTAACCTTAACAATCGGTTTCTAGCATTGAATTCCAACAAGGGTTCAGGTAAACTTACGATCCCTTTTGCTCCTCGCATGGAACTTTGATTGGGTCGAATACGCTACGCAATTGGTT